TATATATGTACATACGGTGAAGAGTTCCACATGTCCTGACGTGGTGTAGCCCGGTGTTAAGAATTTCCTGCAGTCCACCTTCTTCACCTTCTCATCACCAGAGCCCAGATCTAACAGAAGACATGAGGAGAATGAGTCTGATACCTTTTAGATCCAACGAGGCGCTGAAATCCAGCCTCCAGGGCCGACGGATGATTGTGACTCAACTGATTTTCACATAGAGGAAAGGCTCTTTGAATAATTTAACATAGTAAAACGCCTCCTGCCCCACTTTTGCTTCTGTATTTGTGATGGTGGTTGAATCATAAAAACGAAGAATGATGACCGTCCTACCAAGAATGCCCATGTCGTATCTGCCGTTCTTCTTGGCTTCCTGAATAACTGCTGCCAGAGTGTCAGAGAAGTACTGGAACAAGGCGTTCTGCTGCTGGACCTCCATGCCCAAAATACGGTTCAGGAACTTCCCCATGTTGTTGTAATCTGCAGCAGTAACAAAGTAAATGCATTAGATTTATGTAAAAACTGTACATGCATGGGATGCCCAAATTAAAGAGAGACAATAGCTGCAATGTCATTCAATTTAAAATCACCTTTGTCCAGTGACATTGCACCAGATCTGTCCTCCACATTTATGAGGCCCACGCCTATCAATCCACTCTGAATTTCTACACAAAGAAAACACTGTTGTTACTCACAGCCACAGAGGAGAACCATCAATATAAAAAAAATGAAAAAGAAATCAATACAGACATCAACCAGTTGTACAACAAACACAACAGATCGTTTGAAACAGCAGTGAAGTCAAAGTACCTTTGAAGAAATCTCCTTTAAAGTTGGAGGGTGGAGACACTAATGGAGCATCCAGCTTTACGATCGACTTCATCACAATTTCCAGAGCGTTTCTGCCGTACTGTAGCCAAGACAAACACTAGTGAGTCACTGGCAAATACAGACGACTAGAACTTCAATGGGACGGATGCTTGATGTGCTTACTTTGTTGTCAAAGTTAAACCTGCTGAGATCTCTGGTTTCTGTCGCTCTTCTGTCTCCGTGAGTGAGAGCACCCTGTCACGAACATTTAACACATGCAGTTGGTATTTAGCATAAATGTTAAACTTCCTTTGAGGAGCGACGGTGTTGATTTTTCATTGAATTAGTCCTTACCAGGCTCTCTAGTCTTTTGGCAACGATGGATGCGAATCTCTGCTCTCCTGCAAGCTCTGATATGAGGAAGACATATTCTGGAGCTGTGACCTGGTTTGACCTGTGAGTTCTCCCTGTGACCAGACAGACAACAAAGAAAGTTTGAACTACATTTATATTTCACATTTATCAGGCACAGGCGGACCAGTTTTGAAAAGATGTCACTAGGCTTGATTGTGGCTTTATCATGAGGTTAATATCTACTGACCGAACTGCTGTATCGCTCTGTCTGCACTCCACGGTAACTCTAGTGTCATGTGGACTCTCCGCCGCTTGTTCTTCACTCGACGATCGGCCTGCAGGGATATACCTGAGCTGGCAGCTTCAGAAATGATGGCGATGTTCTGGTAGAAAAGAAAAGAAAATCAATATTTATTTCACATACAAAAATGAAATGCTTTGTTTCTGGTTCCAATTTTTGAGGCAAGTTTATACCATGCAGTGCACCAAGTCACAGACATTACGAGCTGCATGACTGAGTGAAGCAAATAGGTCTGTGAAAACTAAAGGTGATTTTGCACTGAAACGCTGGTGAGTCTGACAGTTTTCACAATCACACTCTGGTCAGGTGAGGACTAAACAACCGGACTGAGACCAGCTGAGAAACTGCTGCAAGTGAACTCTGGTGCTTTAAGTTTGTTATGTGGAAGCAAAGCAGACCAACCACGGGACTTTGGGACAGTAGATATGTGTCACAGGCATGAATTAAAAAGGTTAAGGCTCAAACATATCAAACCAACATCAAAGAACTAACGGCGTCGGGGGTTCACTGTTGCCTTGCCTCGCGTCACCTGTGTCTCAGCCAAAAAGTCGTACTACAACACACCGCAAAGACTACAGCCAACAGCCAACTAGCACCTGTGTGAGAAGAAATAACTCCACACCAGCAGGCGGCGACAGTCTGAATTCAACATTAAAAAAAAAGGAAACGGGAAGACCGTCAGGATGGACTCAAGACGGTAGTTATCCAGTTAGCATATTAACACAACCTGACGTTATTCGCACAGAGCATATTTACTGTGCAGTGGTGACCATAACAAAAATAATTACAAAACATTTCTGCTGCAGAGCTCAATGGCTACAAATGAATCTTACTTTATCGAACAAGTTCAGTTTATCTCACTCCATCTTGATGTTAGCTCTTTGTTTACTTTCCTCACTTCCATTTTGTTCTCATGCACTGAGCTAAACTGCCAATCAGAGTCTCCAACACCACTTTGACATGCTGAATAAGATGAAAAGCTGCTGACGAGGGCCAACTAGTGCCAACGGTTTGCAAAAACTAGGGCGACAGACACCCAACCTACGGCCTGACATTGTTACAGGTATGCGAGTCATCAAGTGAGTGTGAGGATTTTCCCAAGGGAGCAAAAACAGACGTGTTTTACTTGTGTCCTACTCCATGTGTTTTGACAATTTTAAATTAAAAAGTGAATGAACCCAGTGACCATGCAGTAACCACCCCACTCCCCATAATATTACAGTATAAGAAACCTCTTTTTCATCCTGTTTGTCATTATTTATAACATGAGATTAAACTGTAGCCTCAAGCAATACAGCTCATAATTTCTTGGTGACACCAGAGAACATAAATAAACACATAAGGTCCAGTAAAGTGCAGCATGACACGTCCGAGGTCTGTATAACTTTATGTTTACATCCTTGGTGTGTTTCTAATAAATCAGTGCAGGCCAAAACTAAAAGACATCACGGTATGTTTTTTTTTTTGTTTTACCCTTGATCTGGACCAAATGAACTCAACTATAGGTGTGAAAGCAGCTTCAGTTATACCACCAAAACCTCTCATTACTTAAAAAAAAAAAAATCTCTACAATAACTTTACCTTCTCTCCGTCCATGAACCTCTGCTTCTCTGTCAGATTGAGGATTTCCACGGGGACGTCCAGCTCAGAGCGAGATTCATACGTGATGCTGCCATCGTCGTTACTGACCACACGACCTTTGCGTCCCGTCATCTGAAGCACAGTTGAAGGAACAGTGAGAGGAGTTCATATAAGAACCAAACACTTAACAATTAAACAAAAACACTACAACAACACTACTAAAGGCTGCAGAGACGTCACACAGATGTTTATACCTCAGCTACGTTTTCGGGTCCTCCCAGTTCATCTATGAGCTCGTCCAGAGTGTTGGGAGGTAGATCCTCGGCTAGATCTTCCAGTCTTTCCAGCAATCCTTTCTTCATATGCTGGGCGTGTTCCACTGCATCCTGACTTGTGAGGCAGCTATCCTGACTCTCTGCCTTGACTTAACAGGTAAAAATGAGACAATCATTAAGCCTGGAAAGGCTGAATAAGTTGTAACACTAACTTTGCCGTGTGGCAACGTGCTTACCTATGGCAGGTGTGCTGGGGGGGATGACAGGGGCAGTGAAAGCGGGCCTGGTGGAGCCCAGCCCAGAGGCTAACAAGGCACTTTGAATGGAGTCTGGATCGATGCTCTTCCTCCTCTTTTTTTTCTTCTTCTTCTCTTTCCCTTTCTTTGGTTCCTTTCTGATGAGCCATGGATCTAAAACAGGATAAAGAATAACTGTAAGCACTGGATTGGACATAAAAATGTAACCTTCAAGACCTGCCTCAGAAGTCTCACCATCTTCATCGTCGTCATCAGACTCGTCTCTGAATGGGTTGAAATCGTCGTCTTCGTCCCCTGAGCTGACAGATTTGAAGCTGTCGTCACTTTCTTTACCGGACTCTTTGTCCGATTCCTCCGAATCACTCTCCTCCGAGCTGGTACCAGACAGTCCACCGTGCTGGCGAGGCTTCTTTTTCGGCTGCTTTTTGACCTCTGACCCTGGAGAGACAATAAGATAATGATTGAAAAATAAATTCAGAATTAAATATGTTTGAACAGCACATAATTTTGCTCACAAGAATTAAGACGCAATGTATATTTAAGACAAAGCCATATCTTCGTTGTTTCAGGGAGTGTTTTGAGCAGGTGCGTATGGAGGATGAAAAAAGGCTTAAGCATCAATAAATAATTAAAAAAGTTTTAAATAAATAAATGCATAAATAAATACAGTAAAAAAATAAATGACTAAATATATACAAGAATAAATAAATACATATAGAAATTAATACATAAATAAATAAATAGATAAATAAATAAATAAATAAATAAATGAATATATGCAGGAATAAATACAGAAGTTAATAAATGAATAATTATTTACAGGAAAAATAGATATAAAAAATAACAAATAAATAAACATAAATAAATACAAAAATAAATAAATTTATAAATATATAAAGCAATGAATAAATATATAAATATATGACGAATACATAAATAGAAAATGAAATAAATAAATGTATAAATAATAAAAGAATAAATAATTATTAAACACACAGGAATAAATAAATACATTCAATAAATGTATACATAAATACAAAAATAAATCAATAAAGTTAATAATTAAGTAGACATAAATAAATGTCTGAGATTTATTCCTACTTTTTTTGTACAACTACAGTTATTTATTTATATATTTCCGCATTCATTTACTTATTTCTGTATTTATTTTTACGTTTACTTATCTACTGATACTTAAGTCATTTTTCGTCCTCCACAGGAGTCAGTAAATCAGTATTAGCTTTCAGTCTTTATCACCTTTTCTTTTCTTGCCCTTGGGTTCTGGTTTTGCTGTGGTTTCACTGGGAGAGGGGGTCTTCTTAGCTGAGAGGTCAATACCCAACAGGCTGTAAAGTTTCTGTCTGTCAGGAGCTGGAAAGTGCTTCTCGATCAGGGACTGCAGCACACCTCTACAACAACAACAACAACATCATTTTATATTACAGTCACTTACAAACATTATTCTGTATAAAACTGTGTGAGGATCATATTAAGTCTTCCCGTACTTTGCAGTTGACACAAAGTCGTTGAGCTCTCCTCCTCCTTCCTCCAAGGCCTCGAGCGTTCTGGCTTCTCCGGTGGACTGAAGACCGATCACCACGCACTGCAGAGGAAAGGTGTGCAAGGTCAGAGCAGGCAGCACAACGTGGACTGTTTCAAGAGGGCATTAAGTAGTTGTTGCCTATTAAAAGCATGCATCTCTGGTGTTGCAGTGCTGACCAGAGGATCTTTTAGCTAACGCAGTCCCTGAAGTGGTCAGGTACTGGGGTCTCCCAATTAAGTTTTCACCGAAATCTTAATTCAATTCATTTAAGTACTGTTATATTTTAAGAGTAGTCTCACCTTTCCGTTTTGCACCTCCTCTCTGGCCAGCTGCACCACTCTGCGGACTTTGGAGGCGATGCAGAGGTATTTGAAGAACCTCTGGTGAGCAGACCAGAACTGTCCCCACATGGACTTCTTCATGCGCTGCTCAGCATCCATCAGGTTTGCTGCCTGCTGGAACTTCTCACGTGCCTCCACCCACTGCGGAGAAGCGTAATGAAATCAAGTTAACTGCAAGCACAAAAAACATAAAACACAATAATGTGATTCTTTTATGTTCTTACCAGCCTCACAGATTTGTTGTACATGTTGATATATTGCGGAGTCAGGGGAACCTCCTCAATCTTAAAAGTTACACCTGTAAAACTCAACTGCCTCGCAATGTACATCCCTCTCAGCTTCATGTCCATAGCTACGATCTCCATGGCGCCAACACCTCTGAAAATGAGTTTCAAAAACATTTATAAAAACAAACATGTTAGGACATTTTTTCGCACACCACCAGTCAAGCCTCCAGACAATTTGCAAAAAGAGAAACTTACCTGCGCTCAACAGCTTGGATAAAGTTGCCAAATTCTCTGAAGGGTGTTTTATGCCCCCAGATGCCCAGACGATTCATATAGGCCATATTTCGTGGTTCAGAGGCACCTAATAGGAAAAAGGACATTGTCAGACATCACCTAAGGACGGGCATAAGTACTTAAATACTCAATTTGGATGCCAGTATTCGTTCCAGTGTACAGAGTAACTGCTGTCCCACCTCTCACATGTAACTATGACTTTTATTTATATATTTTTTTAACTATTTAAAATGGGTGAAATCTCACTCTATCGCAGAGCTGCATTCAGTGTATTGCTTCACTCACTGTCTGTCTCTCTCTGTTCAAGAGACTACTGCTGCAGGAGTGTGAGATCCACACGTGGGAACAGTTGGTGAACACTAACTGATAGCATCACACGGCTAATGTTCCCTAACGGGTTTAACATCAGAGTCGAGCAATTTTGGTTTTGGTGTGAGTTTTTAAACGGCTCAGCATTGGATGCTAGCTCTTACAAGCTGAGCAGATGTTGAACTGACCAGGTGGAGAGACTTCAGAGAAAGTCAGAGGCACTGTGTCTCACTTATGTAACGGCAGAGACAGTTTGCTTATTTTTCTCATGTTAACTTTGAATTTATAGTTTCAGAATTTACGCCTAGTGGGGCGTCGGTGGCTTAGTGGTAGAGCAGGCGCCCCATGTACAAGGCTATTGCCGCAGCAGCCAGGGTTCAACTCCAGCCTGTGGCCCTTTGCTGCATGTCACTCCCTCTCTCTCCCCCTTTCACACTTCACTATCCTATCAATTAAAAGGCAAAAAATGCCCATAAAAATATATTTAAAAAAAAAAAGAATTGACGCCTGGTTGTTCAGTAAATTGATTGAAAATTGCACTAATTTTGGGGCGTCGGTAGAGTAGTGGATAGTGCCAACACCCCATGAACAGAGGCATTGCCTCGCTACAGCGGCCACGGGTTCGAATATGGCTCGCAGCCCTTTGCTGCATGTCAGTCCCCACTCTCTCTCTCTCTCTCTCTGTCTCCCCATTTCACTCTGTCCTGTCATTAAAGGCAAAAAAAGGCCCACATAAATAATCTTAATAAAAAAAATAAATAAAATTGCACTTGTTTTCCGTTGTTGGCCAATTTACATTCCTGTTCTTTCGTTTGTTTTTTTTGTGAGCACTCTGTAATAATTTCATGCGAATACTAGAATACGGAAGTTCCTTAAAATGCCGTCAACTGCTCTAGATCAACGCTCCTGGACGCAAGTGAATATTCCTACAACCAATAAAAGCATCTAAACAGGTGACATAACGCTGAGCGACGGACAAATGTTAATAGACCACTGCGTGCAGAGATAAGCTTTGATGGTTTTGCTTCAACAGAAAGTCCCATATCAGCTGCAACCATCTTGTTTGTTTTCAAAAATATCTCAACAGCCTCCTCTTTGCCAAGCTAGGTTTATGTTTGCTGTCGTCTCCTCAGCCTTAGGGTGCATGGGCCAAAAAAGACGTCATCACTAATTTTTCGTACAGCGCAAATTGTCATTCATCGCCTGAAACACACCCCATAAACAATTTTCATTAGAAAACTGTCTAAACAGAGGAGGACCTGATGCGTCTGCCAGAGCAAATAAAACATCATCTTAGGCTGCAGATTCATCACCTCCACCCAAGTTTACACTGCCAATCCATTAAAAAAGCGAACTTAATTTGATTATGTCTACTGACCTGTAGCACTTGCATACACAACCCGAGCATTGGGGAGTTTGTTCTGCAGCTCCAACACTGCGAGCCCAGTTTTTGTAGGTTTGGACGATCCAATCGGACAAACATTTTTGGCTTTGTGACACTCGTCATACACAATCTGAGGACATTTGGTTAAGGAAAGTCATCACATTATCTTGTTTAAATTACTCTGATACACTCAAGTTCAGTTTTTCACACATGAAACTAACATCTACTCCACTAACTGGTGTCCACTTGAGAAGGATACAACGCCATCGAAGTCCTCCCCACACCAGTGGAGAAGCTGCTGAAATCTGGTCTTGTACTTCCCTCCTGATTGGCTCTCTCCTATCAAGGACGAGTAGGTGGCAAATATCACACCTTTCTTCACACTCCCATTGTGTTTTGAGGAGATTTTCCCATATTTGAACTGAAAATGCAAAAGTGTTATTGAGTCACAATCTGACATTATAAAGGCACTAAACACTTGTCATCAGTTTCATGTATGCACCATAGAAGTATCTTACTTTATTCAGTGAGTGAACCTGGATGTTTTTAGCTCCTATGTCCCGTAGATCCCTCTCAGCATCATACTTCAAGTCGTTTGAGACACTAAACCTGAACAACAGAGGAAAAGATATATGAAGAGGTCATTCTGTTGGCAAAACATTTCTTGGAAAGATCATAATTTGTAATTCCCTGTGTAAAAATATATACTGTAAAAGATTTCAGGATGTATTTACCAAAGTGATCTCTTCCTGCCTAAAAGATAATTCTCATAGATGATCCCTGCGATGGTCCGGCCTTTCCCCACACCAGCTCCATCTCCAATCAAATAGGCAGCTCGATCACCGCTGGGGAGGAATGTCTCATGTTGCTGTGGAGCAGAAAGACAAGAAATGCACAATTAAAGTGGCACAATCTTAATTTTCTAAACAAAATGGACACACAAAACTGTATTTTAAGAAAAGAGAAGGCAGGTCTTAACTTCATCTGATTTTGATTTGGACTCATTCTTTCTATAGAAATATTTTTATTTTAAGTCAGCTTTAAGTTGTTTTTTTAGTGAATTGATTATTGCTTATTTTAGTCTAGTTTCAAGACAATTTGAAAAAAATATATTTTATTCATAGGGCACGTTTTTCAGGCTACTCAAAGTACAAAAAGTTTGTCGTTACATGTCAAATTAAATCAGTACAGAAGAACCTAAATAAGTAGAGTCGCAGAATATATGTGATAAATGTAATAAATGACAGTTTTTAAACTAGAGAACTCAGTAGAGGGCAGATCTCCATCAGACAGGCAGTCGTCAGAGATGATCGCAGCCACGCATCACACCTGCGACTGGTAGAATTGTCCCTTCTGGCTTCCTTACAGTTAAAATGGCGGCAAAGATAACATAAGATAAAGTTTTTTTTTTCCATCTCATAGCGTGCTTAACGTTAGTGGATCATAACATATCGAAAATGTAATTTATCTGCAGATGCTCTGATTCAAAATGAGTCAGTTTTTGACCCATGATGGAGGTCAAGATGTGGCCTGCAACAGACAGTAGGGCTTGTTGTTTGTAGCCAAGACGAGTTCCAGAAATGCCTTTTGCTCTGTGCTTTTGCTACGTCACTTTGTTGATCACTTGCGGCCCCTACTGGCCGGTGAAGAGGGGTGAGGAGTCAGCAATTAATGACGGTATAAACAGTAAATAAAAACAGCTTTGCAACAGTTGTGAATCACCACAACCAGAAGAGGTCCTTGAAGGAAGAAATTTGTCTTTAATTTTGTCACATGTTGCGAATTTTCACAACGAATAGAACAATAAAACGCATCTGAATCAGTGTGCAAGATTTCTGTGCACGATTTCTTGCGGGTGACAGATTAAAAAACACATCCGAAAAAGCAAGGACTCAGTGTGCAAAGGCCTTTACGCCTGGCGGAGATAAAGATGTGTTTCTAAAACAGTTGTTTGCTTTTCTATTTGTCTGTCGTTCACATATTCATTTGTTTGCAGACACCTTTATTTCCAAAGGTGACTTTTTATTTTGTGTTAGGATTTAAAAAAAAAAAAAAAAGCTGTTGAGGGATATTTTTGTTAGTTGCTAAAATGATCATTGCTCACCTGAGCTGCGTATGTTATGGCCTCCAGCTGCAGAGCAGACAGGCAGCCATTATCAATGACTTCTTCTGGGATGGACAGTCTGTACCACACATCAGGAGGGTTGACACTGGACAGGGAACTGGTCTCCACCACAGGATCAGGATGCCGCAGGCCAATCTTTACTGCATTGACAAACCCACCCGTCAGTGGATCGAGTGATTTACAATAGCAGGATGTCTTTTGTTTGATCACAGACGACACGGTGCACTGCACAATAAATGAAGGCCTCCGAGACAAGAATGGCTACACGTCAATGTTTAGTATTCTTTGAATTATCCTGACTAACCGTTTTCAGAGACGTGTGTTTTTAAAAAAGTATTCTGAAATATAGCACTGACATTTGAAACCAACACAACAGCTATACTTACATTTCATTGGCATGTACTCTGCATAAGTCTCTGCATGACCCAACTCCTCCTCCTCTTCCTCCTCAGGCTCATCCTCCTCCTTCATCCCTGGGATTTTCTGTACACAGAGATCGACACAACCATAAATATTAACTTTCCAATAGGGCCTTAAATACACCAACACATTTGGCAGCATTCAACAGCTTTCTAAAATCAATATGAAAATGCTTACCAGAGAATGTGAGAAGGTTTGCACTTTAATGTCGTCATTAATCCAATTTCTGGCGGCATCTTTGCCCAAAACTTCCTTCTTGATCCCATTGTTTATTTCACCTGAAACACAAACAGAGACAGTAGGTGTTACTGTGACAATTCAAATACTGACAAGTGTTAACGTCAAAGTATTGGGAGGTAGTAGGGAGGGAGTATTGTCTGATCTCAGGTTGGTGATTCCATCACCTTATCCTTTTACTAATGACAGCACAATTTAAAGCTTCAATGATTGGTCTGTTAATCAATAAGTTGATCAACAGACACTTAAATGTGAGATTTTGATTAATGTTGATGGTTTAGTCAGTATCTTTAGGTTACGGCCTCTTGATTGGACAAAACAAACAGTGTAAGACATCATCTTGAACTTCTTTAATATGTTAAGACATATTTAAAACCAAATAATACACGGATATAAAAGCGGTCATCGCTCCTTTAGCACAGCTGACCCATGTTAAAAATGTTGAACGTTTTTCTCTACAGTCCACATTTGCACGTCTCGGGTCCTGGTCTTTCTCAAGCTATGCCTTACACTTGTCCAAGTAAAGCCACACATTATTCATTTGGCATTTCTCTGGCAGCGTGCAAATTAACATCTCGTCGAAGTGCAAGCTGCAACTCAGGTCGGAGTCTGATGTTACGCACACAGAGAACATGACTTCCAAGTGGCGTGACTGAATTTACTGATCTGCCAGAATATTAAATATACTCTAATATACAGGCATTTGAGAAGCAAATTTTCATGACTTATACAAAACTTCCTGAGTTTAATTATTTTCCAAAACACCTCCAAACCTGGAAATTGCGATTTTTAAGTTTCATAGCTTTCCCAGGTTTTTCATGTCCGTACAAACCCTGTTACAACCTTTTTAAACATCTTAAAAGCCTCTAAAAATAGGAGATGATTAAAATCATAGGTCATGACTGTTTAGTTCACTGTATTTACAAAAATATAATTGCAGATTTAAATGACCTGTGGCTGTTGCTGTTGCTACTGGTGGTGCGATGTTAGGTGGAGGCTTTAGCTTCATGAGCTCCATCAGACTGTTGCCCTTCAAACCAGTCGTCTTCACATTGCTGGTCCGAAGGAGGTCTTTCAACTGAATCTGCTGAAAAAAAGAAGAAAAAAAATATATATATATAATCAGCCTCATGACATAAAAGAAATGCTTTTCTCTGTGTTGTTACGACCTTGGTGGAACTGCAACGGTATCCATGGTTTCCATGAACGTACCTGATCTCTGTTAGAAGGCACTACTGTGGACACTGAAGGAGGAATACTTGTGGAGGAGGGTGTCGAAGATCCTCGCAGGGCTGAATTAGCAACATGGACCACTTTGGTGACAGTTATGGTGTGTTTGATCGGGTTCGTTACTGATTGTTTGGTCACAGCAGCTCCAAGTGACGGCAACTGATTCAGCTGATTTAAGACAAACGTGGTGGTTGATGGCTGAGGTTTGTGCTGTCGGAGGGAAGAGGGGATTTTTAATAAGGTGCGACAAAACAACATCAGCTGCAAAACAACACTGTGTCTTCAATAATTAATTAAGGAATCTTAATGTTCTGTAATCTCACCCTGATAGTAACGATAGGGACTGGAGCTGGAGGCTCAGGTCGAACGACTTCCACTGACTCTGTCCCCACACCGACATCCAGGGCACTGATGGAGATAGACTGGAGGAGGAGCAGGAATAAGAACATTAATATTCAGTTATGAAAACATTAATAAACAAATCACTCCTCCTTCATAAGAACAGAGATCATCTTACTTGCTGGGTTGTAGAGGGCTGTGCAACATCCTGAGAATCAACATCAAATAGGCCAATATCATTTGGGCAAATGCCACTCTCACTCAGGGCGGCGAGGAGTAAATCCTGTCCAGGATCCATCTGCAACACAAATATATTTGTCCTTATGTTAACGTCTTTCACAGACAGTGCTGACGACATTTGTTCACTAATAAAAACAATAATAACATAACAAAAATGTTTAGAGGTGAAACAGTCTGGTAAATTGACTAGTTGATCAACACAAAATACATTGGCATCAACAAAGCAAGAAAAACAAATGTCTGGCTGGAAAATGTAATGTAAAAATGACTTCACCCAGACATAACTCTCAATTGCAAATTTAAATGCACATTTACAACAGAGAGGTTTAAAATCTGATGCTATCTTCACCAAACTCACAACTTTTCACAACATAATTTAACACCCGAGGAGTTTAAGCTTTAAAGCTGAGATCCCCACATCAAGTTACTTTTTGTCCACAGCGTGTCATCAAACATTGCCAAAAAGACTAATCTCTCCTTGACCTACTGGATGAACCACACCTGGCTAACAGCCATAAGCACATCGATAATAATGTAAAAAATAGTTTAAATTCTACTTGTAGCAGCCATGAGAGAAATGATGCAACAGTGCAAGCTTACAAGGAAACACAGTTATGTGACCAAAATAATGCATGAACCAAGAATCACATAAGGGATGTTGGGACCCACATGTAGAGAGCACAGGCATGGACTCAGACACAGGATACAAAATCAAATTTAAAGCTTAGTTTTCAAATGATAAAGAAACTAGAAATACAATTTTACAGTCGGCATAGAAACACTGATGTTCTGACTTTTAAGTTTAGCGCACAAGTCATTTAAATCCAATGTAAGCAAACGATCCAACATCTTTAAAATGTTCACCTCGCCGTAAATCCTCCGGGAAAACACGCCGAAAAACAGCAAGAAATACACACTGAAATATAACACTAGCTCGATGTATTTATATTGACTACAAATTGAGATTGACGCCAGAAGAAGGAGAGTTAGCCATTTCTCACAGCGAAGTCTGCACGCAGGTCAGGTCCGCGACTTGTTCCAAAGTGACCCAAAACAAGACACGTGTTTGCAATGCCCTGCAACGGTGCGATCAACTTCCTGGTCCCTCTGACTCAACCGGAGCTTCCCTCTCCTCGTTAGCTCCTCCGGTTAATAATTATTCATTCAAACAATCACCTATAATGTACAATATGACGAGACATTTACAGCACCGACATATTTAAGTGTTTAACGCTGCTAATTTGGCACAAGCTAACCCTGCCTGGCGCACTGACACAGGAGCTAAAGTGGCCTGGCTGAACCAGGGTGACACGGCTTAACTGTGCTAACAGAAAGCTAACACACACACACTGAGCTCAAAGACACTTTCACATTCATTCTGTGACACGACAGTGCAAACATGCACCTCATTAAAGCCAAACCCTGTAGAAAAAACTGCTAATTTAAGACCAAACTCTCACAGCTGTTGTAAGATATTAACAGTCACCACAGAGACATGCTCCCAAATATCAGTTAGCTTTAACCGTTATATCCGCTGTAACCTCACACTAACATTTCACATTTATTACCCAATATTTGCTCATTTTATTTTAACTTTTAGCTCACATTGGGTTCAACAGTTTAACTGCGAGAGCCATAAATATAACTGGTTAACAGTAAGGTGCAAAATATAAACATTCAACTGACAAACATTATATTGCATGCATACAACACTTTACTGTAAGTTGATGATGTCAAGACTTTAGCAGATTTGTCACTGAGCATATCTTAAAAGACTTTGTATCATTATATACTATATATTCCTCCTCACTGAATTCAGACAACTTGTACATATTAACACACTTGTTTTAAGTGCGTACTGGTAGTATGTTTCCCATGGGTGCATTTACTAATTTAATATTTGTATTTTAGCTTTACTTTACTTAGAGTGTACTAATTTACTCTATTTTTCTCCTTCGTATGTTCTATGTATAATCTATAGATATATCTAATTCTTACATGGTATGGTAAGGTTTATTTTTCTATTGATAGATATTTTTCTATCTATCGAGATATCTATTTATAATGGAAAAATGTGGTGTTTGGCTGCTTTAAAAACCCAAAAGAAAAGAAAACAAGTATTTGTAATAACGTTGTCTTTTATAAATTCATGATTAGAAATTAAGCAATAAAAACTTTTTTTGTTAAGTTTCCCTAAAGGATAGAGCAATGAAACTATCCATACTTTCCAATTCCACTAACAAACAGGCTACAAAACACTAATATCTGTATAATTTATCTTTGTGTACTGTGATATAACGCCACATCTGCTTTTTTTGTTTTTGTTATATTTGGAAACTATTCCCAGTGTGATAAGTCTGTGTTATGTTGTTTTGTTTAATTAAATAAAGACAGAATTAACAGGTTGATGATAAGGTGCAATCCGAAGCTAGCTTGTTTTAGCTAGCTTGTTAACGTTAACGTTACGTTGGTGAGGAGCTGCTGATAAAAAGCCGTTAGCCAGCTCACTAATGTCGGGTGTAAAAAACACCTCCGTGACCTAAGTCTCAGGTGTCCTTCCCCAAACCTTCCCCACCTGCAGCAGCGGGGCTCGGCGGCGGGGTTCAGCTAACAGCCCCCTCGCATTGTTGTGATGTTGTTGACGGCGCTCTGTGTCATTGCTGTTGCTAAGCTAACATTAGCAACGCGGAGTAAACGAAGACGAAGCTGTCACTGCCTCAAATCGAAATAACGTTCATAATACCGCCGTGATTTGTCACCGCGCCATGACAAGTTAGTGTTTGTAATAAGCGGGATGTAGTGTTAAATAAAGCAGCTCCCCACGCTGATTTCAACTTACTTGACAGTTCAACGGCCACTCTCGGCTCCTGGTCGGCGGCAGTTTGTTGTCCTCTTCGCTCTGCCGAGCTCACGCCATCTTTTTTTATCAAACGCTCAGCCGCATGCTGGTCACGTGACGCGAAGGCCCGTTTTCGCAGTCAAACTCCTCGGACGGTGTCGGTGAAAACGGGTCTCCGAGCAGCCGCGGGGCGTCCCTCCGCCGTAATCAACCCACAAAAGCGAAAAAGTTGGCATTTCCAAAACGTTAGCACAAACGACAAACATAGCAGAGTCAGCGAGCTAATGCAACATCACGTGACCCAGCCAGATCTTGGGAGGAAGTGACGATGAGAAATGTTTCTTCTTCGTTGTTCTCTTCCTTTTTCCTTCTTTTTTATGTAATTAAACAAAACAACATCATACAGATACAGAGCATAATATACAAATAAACAATAAAAAAATAGCCAGTGGTATATCACACTACACAAAAAATATTATAAACTTTTTTTAAAAAAAATTATAATACCTTTTTTTAACCAGGAAGTCCCACTGAGATCAAATATCTCTTTTACAAGACATACATGACCAAGGTGGCAGCAAAATCACAACATACTGAAACACATAACATGATAAACAAAAATTCACAATAAAAAAGAGCAGTTATTTAACATAGTGGCCTCTCAAGAAAAACAACCACATGCCTCCATCACAGCATCCTTAATAATGCCTTTAAATGCATCAATGGATATAAAAGTTATTTCAAACAAAAAAAAAACATAAAAAAAAAACGTATATGCTCCTACTCCTTTCTGAGATTTCTTCTTTTAACCTATATTATTTCAACAAATTCCCAAATTTATTTACAACTAATAAACAGCTATCTATTTACCACCCAGTTAAATAAACAAGTAATAAACCCAGTTTATTTACAGTCCAGGTACCACCCAGTGTGACAAAATAAATATGCACTCCCCTAACACAACCTTTCCTCATCTATACATCTGCTAAAATATATTTTGTATAGTTCTTTGAATTGATTTATATTTGTGCTTTGTTTCAATTCATCACGTAGCCCACTCCACAAGTCCAATTTTACATCTTTGTGCAGATTAATTCATATCGAAGGTGTACAATAGGAAATGTAGTCACACAGAACCTACAAATATTAAGTGCAAATTATAAATAATAAAAGTAATAATAACATTTAGCCTTTTGGTTAGTCAGTTTAGAAAGTAGTGTCACATATTCCTCATTATCCTTCAGAAAAACAACATTTTTTAAGGATTGCTAAATTTACATTTATGAATTTATGAATAAAAATCTAATATTATCATCAAATGTATTTTTTTAAAGTCTTCTTTTCTTGGGTTTTTGAAGGAATCAAACACCACATTTTCCCACATAATAAAGTCTTTAAAGAAATTATCAATGCCAAAATACAGCAGGTGTAAAATTGTCTCTGAATGCAGTTTGTGTATATGTCGTTTTTAAATGTTGCATGTAGTGATTGTCAGAGTGATGTTTATGAGTAATTCTGCAGGACATCTTGTCAGCCTTATCATTACGTATTTGTGCAGGTTAAGATAAGACTTTATTGATCCCCGGGTGTGATATCACAAGCTACCCAGCAGTAAAAAAGTATTCAAAATTTGGCAGGTAGAGTGTGACGTTGTTCCTTTCTTTCTTTCTTTCTTTCTTTCTTTCTTTCTTTAAAATCATGACCCTCCCAAGGATTACAAATATTTTACCTGAGTCTTCCTGAGTAACTGGGGAAAAATGCATGACCCTAGCCTCACCATAAATAGCCATATTTCACATTTCCTTGCTATGATACATGATGCCATTTTTGAGATTTTTAAAAGTAAGTAAGTTTTAAAAGTAAAAACAAAATATGACCATTACGACAAAGTTAAATGCTTGTTTACAGATTCAGTATACAGGAGATAGCACACTAAAAGAACCACAACAAAAGAAGCAGGAATATGTCACACTAGACAAAAATATTAAGTAAGTAGTAAGTATTAAGTATCTTTAAAGGCTTTTTGTTGTTGTAGTTCAGAAAATGGTCTCACATAATGGTCAACATCCTACAGAAAAACAACAAAAGTTTTTTATAAATTAATAAATTTACACAAATGAAAAATAATTTTGCCAACATAATTTATCTAATTTATTTTAAAAATATCTGTCTTCTTTTCTTGGGGTTTTGAAGAAACCCAACACCACATTTTTCAGATTCAGATTCAGATTCAGAATACTTTATTAATCCCCGGGTGGAAATTGTTTTTGTTCCAATGCTCTGTGCAAAGTAGAAATAGAAATACAGCATGAATGGAAACAAGAGATAAAGATGAAGATATAAATAAGATACTAAAATAGACAATGAAAGAAATAAAATAAAATATTAAAGTAGACATTAAAATAAAATAAAATAAAATAAAATATTAAAGTAGACAATAAAATAGTAAAGTAGACAATCTGAAATATTTACAATATACAATTTTCCATAATAATGTCACATTTGTGAACATATCATGAATGAAAAATCTGCAAAGGTCTTGCCATCATCAACATATAGTTCAGTGCAGTATGTATAAATGCAATGTTGGTATTTTGAATCTGATAGAATAGGTAGAATAGAATAAATGAATAAGTAATTAAAATAATAGTAATAATAATAATAACATAAATTATAATCACAGCAGTACATAACTTGCAAAAAGCTCAAATCACTCAAAATCAACAACAGATCTAAGTTAAGAAGAATGAGAGTAAACCCAAAAATGTGATGTCCTCATATGAGGACACAGGGTCTCAGGAGGACATGTTGGTATACACACATATTTCAAGTATTATAACAGTACATAGTATGTCATTTTGATTTTTTTCTTTCTGTTTTGCAGTTACCATGAAGTGACTTCTCAACCCTCTATTAAAAAAAGATTTTTGTAATTATTGCTATGAGGAAATAAAACATACAACGAAAAATTAAAATTAAAAAAATATATATAATTTCTGTATATTTTGTGTGTTTGAGCTGACAGAGGGAGTGAGCGGTTATAGACGCAGTGCCGCCGTCGGCCTGCAGGGGGCGACACAGCCTCGTCTCCGTCTCCTTCATCTACACGGAGAAGAAACATGGCGGCGCGGAGCTGTGGAGGCTGCATCGGTTGAGCTGCTGGCAGTTTAAACAACAACAGACGGGCACACAGTCACCGTGGAAGGGGGCCGCAGTGTAGCGGGGACACTGCCGCATGAGCAGGGCGAGGTTAGTCTCTGAACCGGCGGAGAAACTCATTTATTTTCTGTCCTCGAAACCGAGAGAGCCGAGCGGGGAGCCACGAAAACAAGTCGGACATGAACGGGGTAAGTTTGCTTGTTGTGAGGCATCACCACCGTGTCAATGTGTCCGACAGGAGGGCGACATTACCGGATTATTAACGGTACTGTCTTTATAAACGAGGCTAATTCAGTAGCATTAAAATGATTATTAAAACGAGCTGGTGTTTCTTACAGTGAGTTGGTTACAGTAGCTACAAACGAGCCTTTTTGTTGGAGAGTGCTTTGCTAACATTAGCTTCAGGTTACATGTGCGTGCTAGCTCAGGACATAAACACTATCTATGACATTTAATGGCACTGAAATACACTTATATTAATCTGTTTTTTAGGTGGTGTTGCAGTTTGAAAGCAGCAGCTCAAGTGTGTTTAATTGAAGTGGATTTGGTCGGTAGATAACGAGCTGAGAGGCCTGTGGGTTTAAAGGGACTGATGTGAGAGTTGCTGTGGGTGTGGAGCCAGCATGGTCCCCTCCTCAGGGCCCCACCCACTCCACTGATAGACAGGACATCTACTCAAGTACTCCACCGAAGTACTTGAGTATTTCCACTTTGTGCAACTTTATATTTGTACTCCACCTCATCTCAGAGACGAAGATGGTACTTTTGACAGCACTACATTTGTCTGACAGAGTTAGGGACTGTTCGTTACTTATCAGAGGAGGGAGGTGGCTGTGGTGTGACTTGTTTTTTAGTTATTTATTTATTTATTTATTCATTTTGACCCTCCCTGAAACTACATATAGTTTTTCTCGAGCCTTCCTGGGTGACTGGCAGAAAATGCATGACCCTCCCACTTCCTCAGATTAGTTGCTAGATTTTTTATCTGTTATTAATTATTTATTTATTTGTTTTTAACATTTTACAAACACCCCCGAACGAGTACACAGACAGTCAAGACTAGATAAAATTATAATAGTGATGACTAATGGGGAGAAAATAATAAAAAGAAAACCAAAAAAAAGAAATAAGATCAATAAATTTCAAAGAATAATGTTCAGTGGAAATGGTTCGTTTCAGAGATCCATAAGAGGTTCCCATGTTCTCAGGAGGACTTCCCCCTTATTTTTTGACATGTGAGTGCATTGTTCCAGTTCAGTATTCATACATTCATTTTCCGTAAATGCTTATCCTGTTAGAGGTCGCTGGAGCCTATCCCAGCTGACACTGGGTGAGAGGCAGGGTTCACCCTGGACAGGTCACCAGACTATCACAGGGCTGACACATAGAGACAGACAACCATTCACACTCACATTCACACCTACGGACAATTTAGAGTCACCAATTAACCTGCATGTCTTTGGACTGTGGGAGGAAGCTGGAGCACCTGGAGGAAACCCACGCTGACACAGGGAGAACATGCAAACTCCACACAGAAGGGCTCCCCCACCCTGGGACTTGAGCCAGGCACCCTCTTGTTGTGAGGTGACAATGCTAACCACTGCACCACCGTGCCATTCAATATTTGTGTGAACAAATTGAATGTTGGGGTCTTTGCTGGTTCCAGTTGAGCACAACACACTTCTTTGCTATGTATGATATTATGCTGATCTGCTTTGCAGACATGGCGTCTACGTACCAAGACCTTAACAGTCAGGTCATGCACCTCTTTCCCTCAAAAATGTTTTAGTTTTCTGCTCCCAGAAAACATAAATGACTGCCCCTGTGCGTGTTTTTAGTTAGTAGATTTTTAAAACTTAGGCTACCCTTTGATGCTTGAAAGTTAAAAGTTAAAGACGAAATACTGGAGTTGATAAAAGCTTTGGTTTTCATGCTGGTTAAGTAGTGCAAATGGTTTATTTCTGGCCAAATTTTGATTTAGATTTAGAATAAAGTGATTTTGATGAAATATCACTATTTTTAGCTCGGGTTTGATTATGTTTTTTTGTCTGAGAGAAGTATTTGTTGTGCGTGATGTGTCCAAGGACCATTTGAAATTTCAAAATCCAACAATTATTCCTGCCTTTACAGTGTCTGGCTGTGAT